GACACGCTCCAGCACCTCAATGTCCTTCCTGTAGTGAGGGGCCCAAAACTGAACACAGAACTCGAGGTGAGGCCTCACCAGGGCCTAGTCCAGAGGTACGATGACTTCCCTACTCCTGCTGGCCACACTATTCCTGACACAGGCCAGGATGCTGGTGGCCTTCTTGGCCACCTGGGCACACTGCTGGCTCATGTTCAGCCTGCTGTCCACCAACACCCCCAGGGCCTTTTCTTCCAGGCAGCTCCAGCCACTCTGCCCCAAGTCTGTAGCGTTGCCTGGGGTTGTTGTGACCGAAATGCAGGACCCAGCACTTGGCCTTATTAAACCTCATCCCGTTGGCCTTGGCCCATTGATCCAGTCAATGAAAAAGAGGGAGCTGTCGCTGGTGACAACCCTCCCACCTCCAGCCATTTGGGGGTTAATAACGTGGTCGCTGAGGCTGAGACAGGGCAGAATAATCAAGGGTCCCAGGAGCTCTGTGGATAAAAGGTAGAAGTGCCAGGAGTCTTAACCCCTTCCCCAAGCACAGGAGGCCAAACCCGGTGAATCTGGCTGTTAAAGTGTTTCACCCGATGTGCAAAATGTGCCTGATGTTGCCCCGTTTTCCTTCCTGCGCTTTGAATCCCTTCTAAAAAATGCAGAAATAACTTTGGCTCAAACCTTCCCCAACAAAAGCTTCTTTTGGTTCAGTGTCTGGGATCCTGAGCAGCCCCTGGGCTGGGTGTGAGGTGCTTTTAAGTGCTGGCAGAACTTAAAGGGTTAAAGGCCCGGTCCCTTTGGGACTCTGAGCCTTTCTGGTGGCCTCTGGTTGGCTGGTTGTGATGTCACCCCTTGTCACATCGTGTGCCACCAAAGGCTGTGCAAGCCCAGGCATCCCTTCCATCCCTTGGATGGTTATTTCAAATCTGAGCAATTTATTTGTGTGACACTGGGCCCTTTTAACACCCTCAGGCAAGCACAATGCCCTGCCTGTGTCTCCACACCAGTAGATACTGGTGCCCAGTTTGAGCCCAGCCATCCCTGAAGCTTTGACCCAATAGAAAATGTGCTGGGAGTGTTTGGCTGCTGAATGGGGAGTATACTGGGATGTCTGGGGAGACTGGGAACGACAGTTCCACCAAGGAGAAGGGTGATGGGAAGGGATCTGCCCGGGCCTTGGGCTGGTCTGGAACTTTCCTGGCTTCAGGAGAGGTGCTGAGCAGGAGGGAATCTGTTCTACAAACCCTATTGAGAGATGTTGATCCTGCCAACGACTTGTTGAAGGCATTTGCAGTTCTTTGCTGGAGGAGATGAACTTAAACGCATTAAGTTTAAGCATTAAGTCTTGTTGAACCTCATGAGGTTCAACCTCATGAACCTCATGAGGTTCAACAAGAGCAAGTGCAAGGTTCTGCACCTGGGCCGGACCAATCCTGGCCACCAATACAAACTGGGGGGTGAGGGATTGGAAAGCAGCCCTGAGGAAAGGGACTTGGGGGTGCTGGTGGAGGAGAAGCTGGACATGAGCAGGCAGTGGGCAGCTGCAGCCCAGAAGGTCAATCCCATCCTGGGCTGCATCAAAAGCTGCGTTGCCAGCAGGTCCAGAGAGGGGATTCTGCCACTTTGCTCTGCTCTGGTGAGACCTCACCTGGAGTATTGTGTGCAGGTCTGGAGCCCTCAACATAAGAAGGACATGGACCTGATGGAGAGGGTCCAGAGGAGGGCCACAAGGATGATCAGGGGGATGGAGCACCTCTGCTCCGAGGACAGGCTGAGGGAGCTGGGGTTGTTCAGCCTGGAGAAGAGGAGGCTCCGGGGAGACCTTATAGCCCCTTCCAGTACCTGAGGGGGGGCTACAGGAAGGCTGGGGAGAGCCTGTTTAGAAAGGGCTGCAGTGACAGGACGAGGGGCAATGGCTTCAAGCTGGAGGGGAACAGCTTTAGACTGGAGATGAGGAGAGGGTTCTTCACTGGGAGGGTGGTGGAGCACTGGGACAGGTTGCCCAGGGAGGTGGTTGAGGCCCCTTCCCTGGAGATATTCAAGGTGAGGCCTAGTGAGGCCTGATGAGGCCCTGGGCAACCTGGTCTAGTTGGGGGTGTCCCTGCTGACTGCGGGGGGGTGGGACTAGATGGCCTTTGGAGGTCCCTTCCGGCCTGGAAAATTCTATGATTCTCTAAGTTCTTTATCCGTGGCACAACTTTCTTACCTTTTCTCTTAAACACCGGTTTATGTGCAATAACCCCAGGGAAAGCTGACCTGATCCTGCCTGGCAGTCGCTTTTGTCTGAGTCTGTAAAATCCTCAGAGTATGTTTATATTTTGATTTTATTTTATTTACGCGGTGCCTCAGGAGCGAGCCGATCTCTGTAGCTTTTTGACAGAGACACCCCCCCCCCCCCCCCCCCCCCCCCCACAACACTTGAGTCTTTCTCCTCCCTTCCCAGATCATCACCTTGGTGGTGGGCATTGTCATCCTCGTGGTCTCTCTCCTCACCACCTATTTTATCAACGCCAAAGCCGACATACTCTTTAGCCTCCCGCGGGACCCCGGGGCCGTGGCTTATTGAAGATGGAGAAGCTTTAGCCCTTTGGATTACAGTTGTCAAAGATGAAAAACACTGGAATTCCCCTCTCTCTGGATAGGGCCATGAATGGTTCTCTCTTGGAGCTTCCATGCTCGAGTTTTGGGGACCGAGCCCCAAAAAAAACATGAGACTTTCCCAGAAAACGGTGCCGCCCGAGCCCTAAAGAAACTGAGACGGTCCCGAAGCCTTGCTTTTTAATTTGTCTCCTTTTTCTGAGCAACTTGAGAGGTTCCTGAATGCCACCGAGGCGACCAGGTGATGGATTTGTTCCCCAGAGGAAGGGCAGGGGTGGAAGGATGAAGGTATTTTCTCTGGGATGTCCATGGAGCAGCAGATCTCCGCCGTGTCCGATGGCACAGGTTGCCTGGTAACGTCCAAGAGTCGCTGTGAATGGGTGTAAACTCCAATGCAGGGAGGAAAAGGTGTGTTTAACAGATGATTTAGATGTAAAATGTCCTTTTTTTTTTTTTTTTTTTTTTTTCCTAATGATGCAATATTTTCTGGGTTTTGTACATATATAAATAGTTCTGTTTAATTAAAAAAAAAAATCTCCGCTTACAAATTAACCCGTTGCCTGTTTTGTCGCAGTTGATGGCCCAAAGCCACTGGGTTTGGTCTTGGGAGAGACAAGAGTTTGTTGGATTTGGTTTTTAGACCCGTGTTACAGAGTCACAGAGGGACATGGTGTTGGAAGGGACCTCTGGAGATCTGGTTTTGGTTTTTAGACCCGTGTTACAGACTCACAGAGTGATATGGGGTTGGAAGGGACCTCTGGAGATCATCTCCTCCAACCCCCTGCCACAGCAGGTCCCACAGGAACGTGTCCAGGTGGGTTTGGGATGTCTCCAAAGACAGAGACTCCACCACCTCTCTGGGCAGCCTCTGCCAGGGCTCTGCCACCCTCACAGGAAAGAAGTTCCTCCTTATGTTGAGATGGAATTTCTTATGGTCATGTTTTTGCCCATTTCCTCTTGTCCTGTCCCTGGGCACCACTGAGAAAAGCCTGGCCCCATCCTCCTGACCCCCACCCTTGAAGTATTTGTAGGCATTGATCAGATCCCTCCTCAGTCTTCTCCAGACTCAAAAGCCCCAAGTCCCTCAGCCTTTCCTCCCAAGAGGAAAGCCCTCCAGGCCCCTCAGCATCCTTGTAGCCTTTTGCTGTCCCCTCTCCAGCAGTTCCCTGTCCTTCTGAAACTGGGGAGCCCACGACTGGGCCCAGTGCTCCAGCTGGGGCCTCCCCAGGGCAGAGCAGAGGGGCAGGATGACCTCCCTTGAGGTTCTCCACGCTTTTCTTGATGCCCCCCAAGATGCCAGTGGCTTCCTTGGCCACCAGGACTATTGTTGGCTCCTGGGCATCCTGGTGTCCCCCAGGACTCCCAGGTCTTTCTCCTCAGAGCTGCTCCCCAGCAGGTCACCCCCAACCTGTCCTGGTGCAGGGGGTTAATCTTCTCTCTCTCCCATCTTTCACATCTAGATTCCCTGCTTCACTTTGGGCTTTTTCTCTTATTTTTTCCCCCCTGAAGGCTTCTGCTTGGAATTATTATTTTTTTTTCCTCCTCGTTTTCCTCGTACAAACAGAAATCAGCCCTTTTACTGCTCCCAGCCCCCCTTTTCCACCCCCAGCTTTTTGTTGGGAGCCGCTCTCTGGCGAGAGGAACAAACAGCTGTCCCCGTGTCCTGTGCCCACCCCGCTCCTCCCGTGGCCAACAGGTCTCCCTGGTGGCCACCACCACGAGCAACCCTGCTCTTGGTGGCAACAAAAGGAGGGGAGAAGCGAGGGGACAAGGCTGGCAAACGCCGCGGCCAAGACACATTTCCCTTCCCGCTGCCAAGGCTGGAGAAAACACACCAAATCTTGATTCTCAGCCCAAAATTTACCCTGCGTGTCCCTCCAATTCTCCCGGTGCCAGGGGAGGGGGGGAGAGGAAAAGCAGTCGCCGTTGTCGGTGCTTCCAGCCCTTCCCGGTGTGTTTTGCCCTGGTCAGTAGTAAATTGGTTTTGCTCAGCTGGTTGGTGATGATGAGGTTTGCGCCGCGGGGATCTGAGCCTTCTCCTCCTCGGGGGATGGATGAAAAGGGGGTGGGGGAGAAATAGAGAAGCAAGAGGGTTCATTTGGGAAGTAAATGAGCTACGAGAGGGTCCTGGTCCCTGGATTTCTCCTCCCTGGTCTCTGGATTTCTCCCTGGTCCCCAGGTTTCTCCTCCCTGATCCCCAGGTTTCTCCTCCTCCTCCATCCCCAGCTGCTGCCCCTCTCCTCGTGGTGCCCTCCAAGGACACGGACGCTGCTACTTCCCCCCCCTTCCAGAGGGGTGACAGGACCCTCTTGAGACCTCGAGGTGAACAGATCTTGAAAGACAAAGGTGTTTCGTTAATGTCAAGCTGCTGTCGGGGAAAGGAGCTGCTTTTTATGGGGTGGAGAAATGAAATCCCATTTTATACAGAAATAAGAGCGTGGATAAAGGCCTCGTGTTCGCCCCCATCCCTCTCCCAGCTCATCAACGGGGATGTCCCCCATCAATCTGGATCTCTGTGACCTGTTCAGTCTCACTCCTCACCCTCACACAAAGAGCTGGGGGTGGGGGGATTTGGGGGTGATCCTTCCCCTCCCCTGGGACTGGGGGAGCCTTTGCTGCCTTTGTGTCCGACGGAGGAATCGTTTCCCCCCAGGGAAGCCCCTCTCAGCCCCAAATTAGCGTCCGAGCCCTGGAAAAGCTCACTCTTAAGCCATCCTTTCCGTGCCTTCAGTTATCTCCGGTAGATCCGTGGCCCCAGTTTAAAAAGAAAACAGGTTTTTCACCCCTTGTGTATCTCCCTTTTGTCTAAAACCTTTGGTTTTGGGGGTGAGTTGTGGCTCTGGTTCCTCCTGGTCCCACAGCAGCCGTCCTCAGCTGCGCGGACCACGAAGTTGATAACTCCCCTGATACACTTTCCCCTCCCTCACTCCTGAGATTATGTGCATTAATTAGAGCATCCCTAATGCTAATAAGCAACGGGGAGTAAGTGCCTTCTCAGTAAATTAATGCGGAAAGGAGCTTGAATATTGGTACAGACGTAGATTTATTTCTGTCTTTGCGATGGAAACCAAATCGCTGAGTTCTGAGGGTATTTTGATGCGCGTTGGCTAAAAAATGGGGGGGTTGAAATTGCACTGGGGGCCAGGGGGGAACCGGTGGAGTGGCCGCCTTTGAGGTAGCCTGATGAGAACGAGGTAATTCCCCCCCCTTCGAAGCCCATTTGCTTTGATAATTAGAAAAGTTTGCATGGGAAATTACGCAAAACATATGGAAAAGCCAAGAACTTTCCGGCTCCGTGTCTGGTGGCCTTTGAAGCTGTGGAGTAGCCCCGGCTTCTCCTTGGGGTGTGGGGAAGGGACGCAGCAAACACCGCTGCCGTCTGTCGTAGCTGGTCCAGGAGGACAGAGTCCAGTTGGGTAACCTCTGGAGATACCAGGCTGTTCCCTGAATTCAACATATTTCTCCTCTCAAACTTAGAATCCTAGAATGGTTTGGGTTGGAAGGGACCTTAAAGACCATCCTGTCCCCTCCCTGCCCTGGGCAGGGCCACCTCCCACCAGCCCAGGTTGCTCCAAGCCCCCTCCACCCTGCCCTTGAACCCCTCCAGGGATGGGGCAGCCACAGCTTCTCGGGGCAACCTGGGCCAGGCTCTCACCACCCTCACACCAAAGAACTTCTGCCCCACATCTCAGCTCAATCATAGAGTCAGAGAACCATCTAGGTTGGAAGGGACCTTCAAGATCATCCAGTTCCATCCCTTCTAGTGGATGGGACATCTTCAAGGAGACTAGGTTGCTCAAAGCCCCCTCCAACCGGGCCTTGAACCCCTCCAGGGATGGGGCAGCCACAGCTTCTCGGGGCAACCTGGGCCAGGCTCTCACCACCCTCAAAATGAAGAAATTCTTCCCAAAATCTGACCTGGATCTCTCCTTTTTGAGCTTAAAACCCTTCCCCCTCGTCCCATCGCTCCCCTCCCTCATCAAGAGTCCCCCCCAGCTTTCCTGGAGCCCCTTGAGGGACTGGAAGGGGCTCCAAGGTCTCCCCGGAGCCTTCTCTTCTCCAGGCTGAACCCCCCCCAACTCTCTCAGCCTGTCCTCACTCAGTGATTTAAGATACTGCAGTGATTTAAGACAGTGTCCCAGCCAACAGAGGTTACACAGAATCACAGAATCCCAGAATCTTCTAGGTTGGAAGGGACCATAAAGATCATCTTGTCCAACCATCAACCTGAGACACTCTCCCAGCCAACAGAGGTTACATAGAATCCCAGAATCTTCTAGGTTGGAAGGGACCTTCAAGATCATCTTGTCCAACCGTCAACTGACTGACAAAAATAGACACCCACACAACAAACAAGGAGCATCATCACTAAACCAGACCTCCCAGCACCACATCAACCCGTCTTTTGAACACCTCCAGGGATGGGGCCTCAACCCCCTCCCTGGGCAGCCCATCCCAAGGGCTGAGAACCCTTTCAGTGAAAAAATTGTTCCTAATCTCCAGCCTGAACCTCCCCTGGGGCAACTTGAGGCCATTTCCTCTCGTCCTGTCGCCTGTGACTTGGGAGAAGAGACCGACCCCCATCTCTCTACACCCTCCTTTCAGGGAGTTGGAGAGAGCAAGAAGGTCTCCCCTCAGCCTCCTCTTCTCCAGGCTGAACACCCCCAGCTCCCTCAGCCTCTCCTCATAAGACTTGTGCTCCAGACCCCTCACCATCTTTGTCGCCCTTCTCTGGACCCGCTCCAGCACCTCGATGTCTTTTTTATGGTGGGGGGCCCAAACATCTCTCGGGCAGAGGAGACAAAAGCTCTCTCCAGTCTGGTTCGTCTCTCTGACCCAGGAGACAAAAGCTCTCTCCAGTCTGGTTCGGTGTCACAATCCAGCTCAGGTACTGGGAAAGTGCTCTCTGACTCTCTAGACTTTCCCTCGCTGCTCCAAAGCAGGGCTACTTGAATTGCATCCAGAGCTACTACATTTTGAGGTTGGTTTACATCATTCCTGGTCGAACCAG